TTTTCAGTTCAGTTTGCTGGGAACTTGCGTCAGATGTGTTCTTGTTGAGTTTACGTATGTAAATAATTGAGCATTTTGCATATGAAAGCGAAAATAATTTAATTGTTTCGAGAATCGCAGAAATAAAATACTCACTTGCATATTTATAATTATATTTCTTGATATTTCAGGGCCGACTCGGCAGCCCATCGCTCGCCTCGGCGGAAATCAGCCGCCGTGGGGCTAAGGCAAGCGAAAGAAGTAGAAAATGTGGAAAAGCAAAACTTTAGGGATTGCTCTGGAGTTTAGGGATTGCTCTCGACAAAAGAACACCGCGGGTTCACATATATTTTGCATTATAATAACTGCTTATGGTACTACCATCTTCGTATTTCGGTTGAAAATCTCTTCCTTCGTTTGGGGAATCGAAACACGAAATTCAATTTGACTGCCTCTTGCCTTAGGCGACTCCCTCAACTAAGTTTTTCACTTATTTTGCTGTTATAAAGGGCTCCAGGAGTCGACAAGAGGGAGCGCGCTCCAATTTGCTTGGGACTCAAACTCATCCTCCCCGCTGGGCCCCAAGTACTTAACATATTTGCATTAACAAGCGCAGACACACAGATACATGAATTTATAAATATGTATCTCGTATTCATGTGCTGCCTGCATTTGATGGGGAGCACGAGCATCTCCCCATCCACGGCAAGGGCCATTAAAATTATTGATTTTCTGCCGTCTGCAATTTTGCCCTTTGGCCAGCAAAGTGAACTCCCGCCAGATCCCTCTATACACTCCCTAGTCCTCCACATTTAAATTAATCAACTCAATTTGCGTTAAAGTGCAATGGGGAGCCACTGTTGATTATATCCACAGACAGCCGATGTCAACGTCAGCGCGAGAGGGGAAACTGTATTTCTTTTAATTTTTTTTTATTTTTTAACACAAGAACCCTTCCTTGGGTTTTCTCTTCTTACCCTAATAATTATGTCACATCTCAGTGGAAAATTATGGCAATTTCCTTGAGCAATTTCATGGACCTCCCAGATATTCGCAAAATGTTCCTTGAAGCGGTTCACGCTTCATTACGCGGTTCCAGATTTGAAATTGCCAAAAGGTAGATAGTGTCTGAAGTAATGGCGAATTTCGGCTAAAATTATGAATTATTAATTTTGGCATGGCAAGGGTTTAGGAGAGAGAGTGAGGTGGAAGTATGCCCCAGCCCCCACCCTTCTGCCAATCTGTAAGCGCATTTAGGCGTGAGAACTAATTCGCTTGTAATTGCATCCATGGAGAATGTGTAGGGTGTAGGGAACGGGAAAAGGGAAGGGTGAAATCTCAAAAATGACTTTCCATGCAAATTATGAAAATTATGAATACGAAATTAGCTGCGGATGAGGATGTTGATGGGTATTGAATGGATTGACCAAAGGATGAGAAATTTTCATTATTTCAAAGGGGGATTGGAACTTCAATACTTTTGTAATCCCTTTTTGTAAATCCATATGAAGCAATTCAGCCGTAAACTGAGTGTCAATTCATTGCAGATAATTCAAAAAACATATTTTATTAATAGATTTACAATCATGTGCCCAGAGAATTTCAAATTTTGGACTAACACATGAATCATGGCAGCTGTGAGCAAAAAAAAGCTCTTCCATAAATTTATTTCCACATCAAATGAGGCATACGAGCAGCAGTGGTTTCCCTCCTCTCCTTGCAAATTGAAACACAACCAAACACATCAGAATATCAAATATAATCAAATAGGCAGTAAATGTACTCAACTAAATCAAATGAATGGGTTGTCATAAGTTCCCGTCGTACATGGGTTGTGACAAATCGTTTTTGAGGCCAACGCAACCCTCTGTCTGTATGCTGTACATTGTGTTAAAGTCATCCATGATGAACCCGGATAAGCCCTGCACTATTTGCACAACAAGCTCTCCGAGTGGGTGGAGGGTGGAGTTCTAGTATCAAATTTCAGTGCAGGGGTGCAGAATTCGCGGTTAGCCATGGCCAAGGCAAGGGAAGGCACTAATTTGTTTGCACATACTCGGTCCGTATTAAGGGGCAGATCATGGAAGTGGTCACAAAAGGGTGCATTAAATTCGGGACTTGGAAAAGTTATTTTCAATATGTCAACTAAAATTCTCTTTCTTTTGAGTTTCGGATAAAATAAAAACTATGAAAATGTAACCGAATCCTGTTAGATAGTTAATTTGTAATTTAATTAGTAGCCTCCCCCCACAACAATGTGCACCCCTGCCTGGGACATTTGCTAGCAATTAAAATTGCTAACGAATTGCCCTTCGAGATGGGAGAACAGGGAACTGGGAACACCCCAATGCACCCTCGAGTCACAATTAGTCCGCGGCCTCGAGGCACTCACTGTCTGCCGCAAGGGGGTGTAGCAGCATTAGATTGAAAACTTTTAACCCTTAAAAGCACAGCAAACAGCAATTTTATTAACGTCATTAATGTAACTTTTTTGGTGTTTTGTATCTCGATGATTTCATACGGAAGAAACAGTAGCCAGAACTGGGACAATTGAAACGGAAAGTGTCGCACATGCCGAAGGGAAGACCCACCCACAAGTGCAAGCAACCCTCTGCTGGGCTGGGGGTGGACAGAAGCCTGATTCGTGTGCAACATGCGTCAGTGTGAAATCTGGGCAAGTCTGGCTCCTGGAATCCTTGACGCGCGGGGGTGCGACCCCAGACGGGGTGTGCCGACTTGTCTTGTGTCGCAGGTTGATTAGAAATTCCATTAAAATTCCATAAAAAAGTGTGTACGGTAGCAGCCGCACCCTGCTAAATATTACTGCTCCCGGCTCCCTTCTCCTGTTCCCGCATAGTTTTGCCCTCGGGGTGGTTTACCGCCACCCACCACCCAATCTCCTGCAGACCTGCCACTGCAATCGCGTGCGATGTCGTGCTGCCAATGACTGTACTCCCTTCTCCCATCTTGGCCTGACTGCTTTGTATTTCAATGTCGCCGCCGAGCGCTGATGTCGTCTAATTAACTCGCAAAGTGTGTCCCCGCTTGGGATTCCGATTTCGATGCGGATTAAGTTGGTCTCCACTCTTTTTCTTTCGTTTCTTGCGCTGAGCACTCGTAGCCGTAAAGTGCGGAGTGTGGCCCCGATAAGTGAGTCGGTCGGCGAGCGTGTCCAATTATGCAGCATACAGTACTCGTAATACAGTTCACGTGTCGCTTATGGGATGCGATTGTGGGAGATGTAATCTGAATGCAAGCAGCAGTTTGTTATTCACAAAAGGTTAGCATTCATGTATGTATATGGCTATAGAAGGGTAGGTTATTTTAAGATGTGAAATGTGATAAAACATGACCTTCGGAACCATATCATTGATGAGGTGCGAAATCATAGCAGAAACGTAGATATAATGTTCCAGTATCGGTTGAAGATGTCTCACAGAAATCTCTTTGCGATTGCAGAAAAATAAACCGGAAACAAAAGAGCTTCCAACCAATATTTACACTTGATTGCGCTTACAACTTGATTCCATTTCACTTCCACTTTTTATTGGCCACATCGCCAGCATTGTACCAGCTCCTACCTATTCCCCCTTTCATATTCACAGACAATTTCTTACTGTATTCATGGCAAATTGCATAAAACAACAATCGACAAATTACTCTGCTCGATAATACCTATACTCTCGTGTTATGAGCACATGTTCGAGTCCCCGCCAGCATCGTGTTCTCTCTCTCTCTCTCTCTATAGGAAGTAAATTCGCATCAAACAACAGAAGCCCCCAAGCGGCCCACTAACCGAAACCACAACTAAAACTAGGCAGGAGAGTCTAGCATCGGAACTATGGCATACGAACTATAGATACCCTCGCTGGTTTATTGTTCAGCCATTCATATATGATTTTTAAAGTTTATTTTAACTTTGCAAACATCTGTGAAAAGCAATCATACCCTCGGCAAGGGTACCATAGCCACAATAACCACAAAACGGTGCCTGTCTGCATTTGTCGTTGCTGCAGGCGATTGTGATTGGGGCGGAAAGTGCTGCGGTGGAGTTGCACAGGTCTTCTACGAGTATACCCCCAGCAGCATCATAATCAACATCATCATCAACAGCCACAGCAACAGCCGCGGCGCACAAAATATTTATTATTGCATTTTGATTTCCGTATGAGCCGCTGGATCTCTCTGTCTCTCTCGCCCACTCCTCGCTCTCTTATACCATCCCCATAACGGATCAACATTTGTTTTTCTGTTATTGCCTTCTCTTTGGCCTTTACATCGCTGTCTCGCTGTTAATCTTATCAGGGATACAGTGGTGTGTGTGTGTGTCGATGTAAACCGATTTAGAGGAGTTGGTTGGGGTGGGTCTGTTAATGTAAAAACAACTTCAGTAGGAGTTTATTGCAGATTCATTATGCAGACAACAGAGATTCATTCACACCTAGATTTAGAGCTACGAACTGCAGAGTAAAAACATGCTAAATGCTAAAAATTGCTAACATATTTCAATCAACAATACGTAATGTCGTAGTGCCCTTCGATTTACTTGGCATCTTCTATTAACATTGCTCAGCTACCATAAAGCTTATCATCTCTGACGGCGTATGCGTGTAGCTGGAATAATTGATAATGAAGTTAATGCAAATGTTTATTTATAAAACATTGAATCAGGCAGAAATTGCGTTGCAACGAAGAGCACCAGCACCACGGAAAGTATTCCCCTCCTCCTCTATCAGAATTTTGTGCAATTTCTTGTTCATTCTTTTTCTATATAAATGTCCAAGCGTCAGTAGGTGGCTTCCGCTGCTGTTGACGGAAGCAGAAGTATTATGTTTCGAGTAACAGAAACAGCAACAAGCTGTAAGAGGCAGTTCTCTTGTTTCTACCTGCCTCGTGCCACAGCTGCCTAACAGCACGTGTCAACAGCTGCTGCCGTTTAACAGAGCGATGCTAGCGCACTGTCAACCCACTGTTAGCGCTCTCCCATTACTGTTGGTTCACATTTTGACTCGTACTCATTCGTTTTTCAGTCAGCGGTCGATTCGGACGTGCAGAGCTCGTTTTTACCGTTACCGAGTGTTAGGGCCGCTGCGTATAGTTTCGTGAATTTTTGTCTAGATTACAGTGTAGTGCCAGGGGCCAGCAATAATAAACAAATAAATTACGAGTTGAATCGATGTCGTCACTCATCAAAATACAAACACCATTCCTTTCGAAAGTGTTTTTATTATGAAATAAATGAATACAACGTGACCGAAAGTGTTAGTCATACTCGTACCGTACCACAAATTTGTGTGCTAAAATGCAAATTCAACGCCGCTCATCATCATCATCTGTCGCCGAACCAAACAAGTTGCCAAGATGTGGCCGAGGAAGCCAATAAGTGCACATATCGTATAAATAGATACAGAAACACGCCAGTGGAAATACGCGAAAATAGCAAGGATTACACTAGACAAAAGAAAAACAAAAAAAACAAAGCAAAGCGAAAAGCCAACAGCCCACTAAAAAATAACGAAAACACTTTTCATTGCCAACACGCGCAAAAACACAAACGCCCCCGTAGACAAAACCAACACAAGAAAATCCCCAAACGGAGTACCAACCACAGTATAGATCGACAGAAACTCTTCGATCATGCTGGCTGTCAAGAACTTTTTCCTGCCCGAGCGCCAAGCCAAGGCACCGGAGACGCCGCAGCGGTTCTCCCGAATGCCCGAAGCCTTTCTACGCTCCATCCGGAGACGCTCACTGAGGGTGAAGAGGGCCAAGAGCCTGGTGGTGCCCGACCGCTCCGAGAAACGTAAATCAGGTGAGGTACAGTGTCGATGTAAAGCGACCGTCAAAGGAGTGGATAGCCATTAAGTGGGTAGATTTAAGAAACCGGAAGGCTTTACTATATTGTAGATGCACCTCCCAGCAGTTTTCTCCCATAGTTCCCACCTTCAGTACACCCATTAAAATAATTTCAATTAAATGTTAATTAAATCCTCTAATGCTTAGTTAATGGCCAAGCAAAATTTGGTGAACTTTCGTAAATTGCATAAGAAAATCATTAACCAATGACCTTGCCTTAAGCTTTATTAAAACATTTAATGTGCAACAGTCCAACTAAACTTTTTGTGTTTATTTCTGTGTGTTTGCCATTCCACATTCATTATAACAAAAATAACCTTTCGTATATGGCACATCGCGTGTCAGGTGTCAAAGTGTGAGGCAAAATGTTGGTGTGGTGTTGTAACGAGCCAGAGCCATAGCCCCAGCTATGGCGAATATAATGCAATCTGACACAGTTTCCCATTGAGACTTCCTCAGTTCCGACTGCGGTCTCCCCATCAACCGCTGTCTGGGGTCTATTATGCCAAAGTTATGGCAACATTATGTCTTTATTTCTTTTGAATGAAAATTACATGAAAAGTTTGCAAAATGTTTTCCCTTTCCTTTCGCCCTTTTTGTTTATATTTAAATCTGTCGAATAGCCATGCGAACAAGAGTGAAAGGTCGATAAAAGAAAAAAGAGTAGAGAGCGAAAGTTATGGGAGGAGTAGTACAATTTCTGATGATAGAAGCAAGGGAAAGACCTCATTGTAACACTGACTCACATTCGTATATTTCGGCATTGACTTTCAGTGGCAGTGCAGCGCCGTGACAACGGCAAACAAACTAAGTTTGTGGCTCGTTCCTCTCGTGTTTGGCATTTAGCATTCAATTATCGATTCCCATTCCTGAAACAGAATGCGGGTCGGGTGCCCGATTCTTGGTCAGTGGCAGGCGGAATCACAAGGGTACACGTACAGGCCATGGCATGGCGCGTCATGAAGGTGGGCAGCATTGACACACTGCAACCAATGCCAGCTAATGACGTCAAACGGGATAGAGAGAGAGAGAGAGAGAGATGGGATGATGGGATGCCAAGTGCCAAGTTCTAACTTATCTCTGGGATCTCTATAGGTTTCTCGTGTTGTCTTGTTAAGTGTTTGCCACATCGCGATCCGGTTCGTGTTGGGGTTAAGGAAATGTGTCAACTGATTCTGGGCCGAAGAGATGTGCCAGAGAGATTACTTGATTGATCGGTTGCATGATATGTGAGGGATTATAAATGGACGCACTGTGTGTATATGCTGCTTTGGGGGCCATGAATCATGTGGAATATGGAAAATACAAATTCAAATTTTTACATTTCTTTTAAGTTTTTTTAATAAGATTTTACGTTTTCCTTTTTCCCATTTTATCTACGAGTATTTCTACTTGAATGTAACATTCCATTCGGATTCGATTCCCATTATACACAAGTGGTTCATTATATTACTTTTTGCATACTTTGTTGTTGTTTGTGGGGCCCCTCAATGGGGCATTGATAAGATAACAAGAAAATTGTTGCTCTCTTTTTGTGCTTTTGTGTGTGTTTTACTTATAAATAAATACTCGTATATAATAGATATTCCATTTATTTCCGTTCATTAACTGGCTTGACTTAATTGAGTTCTCTATGTGTTCGGCTGATAAGCGGAGAAGCGGCAAGCTCTCAGATAAGAGCTCCTGAGATACCCAGATATTGTGGATAACCCAGCAAAAGTGCTCCAATTCAGGTGTCAGCTCTGTGACTTTTTGAAGACCTTGACTGCACTTCGCAGACTTTGGATTTGCTATAGTAACCAAAAGATATATTTGACAATATTCCTCTACAATCTCTTTGCCCTGTCACACATTTTTTGCTTTGTATATTTGTCTTTATTTGTTTTCGTTTTCGTTCTCTTGTCTCCTCCATTTTTGTATACTTAAACTTTTTATATCATTCGAGTCTCGGAAGCTCGAGGAAGATGAATAAAGAGTCAACAACAAGGTTCAAAATAAAACGTTTAACACATTTTGCCACAAACAAATGCAAATACGAACCCAAATACAAAAGCAGAAATTTAGAATGTTTAAATGAAATTAAAACGCAATTCTGTTTGCCAATGGTACACTTGAATGTGTGAAACTGAACGGGTTTTATTCGACTAAGAGAACGAATAATACGAGCAGCATATTGTATCTATGCGGAGATGGATAACTCTGCCTGATGAGAGCATGAGATCATGGCAAATTTGGCTCTTGGATGTACTTAGGGAGAGCGCAAGAGGTGATCTCACTCCTGTTTGGGAAGAGCATGGAGTGTAATTATAACGATTGTAAGAGTTCGGCAGTCTCCCTCCCACTTGCTGTGACATGTGACCTCTGGAGCCCACAGAGATGTCTCAGAGAGGCAAAGAAAGACTTCCTCAATACTCTCACGCGTGCCTTTAATTAATGGCCACATATTCTGACTGCGACTCCAGAATTTATGAGTGATGAAGTCGCAGCATTGTGCCGTCTGAATTTTAATGATCCGCCCACACTAATTAACCCAACGCCCACGATTCACGTACATAGATCAGCATTTGGCAAACCTTATAAGGCAGTGAGACGGAGTGGCACAGCGACTCTTGGTTTCGTCTCTGATTTTGGGCACAACCAGTACTTGAGTCATCGAATCATTCGAATTGTCACTCTCGGATGGTGTCAGAGTCTCACAAGGGGCACGCGCAGCGATCAGAGGAGAGGAGGAGTTCATCGATCGGTGGTTCGGTTCTATTGAGCAATCCATTAATCACTCTCCACTTCACGGTCGCAGACAAACGAGAGGCCTCTCTCTCTATATGGTGCGCTCTTTAAATGGTGTCAAATGTAGTATCAGATCTTTGTGGCTGCCTTGCCGCACGCGTCGCTGCCAAAGACCCATAGGAAAATGCACCTTTTCATTACTTACTTTTCTTTACCGCTGCACGCCCCTTGTAATTATCTGGCAAAAAAAAAAAAACGTTTTTCTTTTCCACATTTTCCACATTGTCTGTTTAAAAGCGAAAACTTAGGACGACAACATGTAATTAATGAATTTTTATGATCGCCCTCTCGGTACTTAAAAATAGATACTCCTGGCATGATAATTATTCTGCGTATTTCTCTTTTATGATGTCTTTATCAAAGATGGTAATATTATATTATTAATAGTTGGAAGATGAAGCAGGGCTAAAGGTTCCCTTGTCTGGCTAGTCATGGTTTGAAGCAGATGCAAAATATAATATGGAAAGGAAAAAGTTCAGCTGTAATCTGTCATCATTTCTTTCTACGACTCTTCCTTGCAATTCCCCAGCTAATTTCACAGCACATATGAATGTGGGAATACACTCTTGGATGTACCCACAGGTGCTTTCAACCATAACACGAAATCCAACCCAATCGAAAACAAAACTTTAGAAACGTTTTCCCAGACGAATTTATTTCGACACTTTGGGTATTTTCAATTAAATCATTCGGAGACGATTCTTGCGCTGTTTCTCCACCTCTCAACCTGTCAAATGTCTAAGGAAAATGGAAAATATGTAAATGCATTTTTAGTGTAATGAGAAAATAGCTTTGAAAATATGCAAATTAGATGACAAACGACACGTCTCGAGCGCCGCTTCCGCCTCTCACGCAGTGGTTGGACACTTGTTGGGAAAACAGAAAGCAGAAAAATATCCGTCTATAAACCGAATAAAAATATCCACCACCAATGCTCAAGCGAGTGAGTCTTCCCTCCATGGTGTGGTGGAGTTTTCTCCCCAAATAAGTGCCAAGAGAGTCAGGGTTTATTGCTCAAACTCCGTTCAGAATGCAAAGTGTATCTAAAAAAGAGGCGCAACAGATCGAAAATTGAATTTTGAGTAGCCCGTTGACCAAACGAATATAATGTGGGATAGTGATTGGACTATGGCTTTGTTCTGGGTTCCGTTCGGTTCGGTTGGGTCAGGTTCCCTCCCGGTTGGAGGGCTCTGAGCTCAGGGCTCTTTGTCTAGTAAAAATCCAAAAAGCGCAGCTACGTCCCACTATTTTCCATAGTTTTTCCTGTATATGGCAACGACACACACAAAAGCGGAAGTTCTTATTTAGGTTGTCCCTGCCCTGCCCTGCGCTGCGCTTCGCTTCAATCTATGTTTTAATGCCCATTGAAATTCAAATGCGGACACCGTTGACACCGCCAAATTGTTGAGGGGAGCATGGAGCATGTGGCCGGCTCCCTTCTACGACACAACAACAATAATAATGCTGATAATAATAATGAAATTCCAACATTATTTTTACAATGGCAATTCCAAGGTTCTCTTTTATCGATGCCATGCCTATAACCGATAATTACATTGAGTACTGGGATGCCGCTTCTCCACATTTAGAAGAGTTAATTTTTCTGCGTTCTCTTCTTCCTTTTTTGCCAAAAGTTCAGTCACACTCTGGTGAGGGGTGGAGAAACTTACATCGCACATCGAATGAGTCTTACAACACAACCGGTTCACGGTTATTTTTCGTGTCTTTCTCTCATCTCTTCTCATTCGCATTTTCGGTTTCTTTGTGGGTTGTTGCTGGAGCGTGTGTGTGTGTGTGGCTGATATCGACACTGTCCTACAGCATGCTGCGGGTCGCTTGTCTCAAGATTAACATCACATTAAAGTTACTAAAGAATAAGATTACCAATTGGTATGAGAGAGATAAACCAGTGGAAGTTAATATTCTATGAAAAAATATCCTTTTTTCAGTTATATTTTGTTTAAGAATAGCTGTAATTTTATGCCTATAATCTGAGCTAAAGATTTGAAGAGCTTCCTTGGCTTTAACCCTGTTGTGGTGTGTAACTCAATAGCCACTGGTGGGGCCGTCCATTGGCGTATGTGTGACTGATAGCAGCAGTATGACTTACTGTCAGTTAGTGGCGCTGTAATCCGTTCCGTGTGTGCCAACAACACATGGTGCTAATGG